CGAGGTGTAGTTCCCTTAGAAGACATATGCAGAACGCACAGATCCATGGCCTTTGGAATTCCGGGGATCCGGCTTCTCGTCCACGATGACAATCAACGGCCTGCTTGCAGTGGGGTAACTTAGGGTGAAGAGTGGTTCTGATCACTACGATCCTGACAATGCAGCGGAGCAGAAGATTTAATTCCGGGGATCCGGCTTCTCGTCCACGATGACAATCAACGGCCTGCTTGCAGTGGGGTAACTTAGGGCGAAGAGTGGTTCTGATCACTACGATCCTGACAAAGCAGCGGAGCAGAAGATTTTTTCCATCAGATGGCCGACTTCTCGGCAAGAGGACTTCACCCCTCAATCGAGGCCTGATTCCAAAATGGCCTTCTTTGGAAGATTCCGGGATTTCCGCTTCCCTTACTTCAGATTGCCTAGGTTAAACTTTATATAACTAACCTTTTTCATATTTTACAAAGTACTGTGATGGACACGAGTAGGGAAGCCCTTATCCTTATGGTGCTACCCCGGCCCGGCTCTTGGTCTTTGGACCTCACGGATACTCGACCCAGCCACGAGCTGCCCATGCCCTGGGATAGCCATGATGTGAAGCAGAAGTCTGGCACTGCCAAAGCCACCGGACCTCGACTTCTGTCTCAATGCCAACCAAGTCACTGACGCTGCGCCGGGGTCGGCTGGCTCTGCCTTAGCTCATTACGGACACAGACAGTTTGTCGACCAAATGTTCGCACTCTGATATGAACGGGCCAAGCTGCGATCCGGCCGCATGGCTGGACGCAGAGGGCCTCAGCTTGGGAAGAGGCACTCAGTGAGCGCCTTTAGAACTTCTGTCACTGCTCCGCCAAGCTGCTGCTGGGCCTGAGAGGCCGGGTTGGCATTGGACCTTAGAACACACCAAAGTCGGCTTAGACGCAGCTGCAAACAACAGCGAAGATTGGACCGAGCACAGCGGCTGGCCCTGGCCCAGCAGAAGGTTCAAGGAGGCAGACGCCGAGTTGGAGCTTGATGACGGGCGATTGGAGGGCCTAAGCTCGAGTTCAATCTATTAAGCACACTCTGGACTCGCAGAACCAAGCCAAGCTTCTGTGGTGGCTGCCGCTGCCTTGAATGACACATGTGTCACGTGAGTCTAGATGCCTCGAGGTGTGCTTTGCCTCGAAAACCGTGAAAACTTCTGACAACTGACTGACTCTCCTAGTCAAATAGGACCTAAGTGGACACCAAAGAAAACACCTTGCAGCAGCCATCTGCCACCGAAGGCACTGCTGGCCCTGCTGCTTGGCGTAACCCTGATGGCCCTTCCTGGACAATGAATGACAACACCTAAAGCAGCAAAAGCGGACACCAAACTCTCTGAGCTCCTCTTTATCTCCTCTTCGAGATCCGGATTGTCTTTGAAGTCTTGGTTGCAAGATCTGTAACACTGCATGGGAATGAAATGAGTCTCACTAGCACTGAAATGCCCTCACAATGCTGACCAGGGAGCAGATGGTATCGGAAGCCGCCCGACAATATTTTATGATGACGTTCTCGGGATGGGGCCAGGGTGTCACGTCCTGCCAGGTGCCAGGACTTAACTTGACGATAAATTATCTGGGAATGCGGATGTCCTGCAGGGATTTCGTGAGATGGCCCCCCGCGGAATCATCCTTCAGGAGGATCTGTTCCATCATCAAGATGACCAGGAGGGCCGCCTGCAAATTGCAAAGTGCAAGACACAGACCGGCCTACGGATTGCCAGGCCTGTGACCTTCCCTCCAGTCCCTGCTTGGAGAGACCCAAATCTTGCTGGTCGTCAGTAGGGAATGAGGGAATGAGTCATCTGCTTCCGCTGATGCCGGAAACCGGATCACACCAAAACAAAATTGCTGCTCAATTGGCCCTTCGGCTCGACGCCCCGGGAGCAAAAACAGAAAAGCAGAAAGAGAGCGAGAACCAAAGAGAGAGCGAGAGAGAGAGAGAGAGAGAGAGAGAGAGAGAGAGAGAGAGAGAGAGAGAGAGAGAGAGAGAGAGAGAGAGAGAGAGCGAGTCCCAGTCCATGCTTGTAGTGTGGTAGACAGATCCGGAGCGACATTTGTTTCGTATTGTGTGTTTAATCAATACTTGAATTATCATGTGGCACAAAACAGCACGTGTAACAATTCGGCACTTGTTTGATACACAGTCATGACATGGAACTTTGACCTCCTTGAAACTGTTGTTTTCAAGTCGATTATTAGACTTCTACTGTTTCATCATAGACCAAAACTGAATTACCATGCGGCAACAGCATTCCAATCAGACATGTTTGTCGATGCTGTGTACCAATTCCAGCACATCAAAAGCTCATGCTTGGCAAAATCTAATCTCGCAGACAAATCAAATCATTTGCCACTTGTTTGTTGTTGTTTATGTATGCGTTTCTGCAGCTGCAACATGCACAAGCATGCCCTTTAGACTTTAGCAGCCGGAAACCGACAAAAATAATCCCAGCATCCTGCAGTGACAGACTTTTGCACCATATAGGTCCCTATCATGCATTAAAAACATATCACAACACATACTTCGCAGCTAGAAAGCCCTTACTAGCCCGAGCATCCTATAGTCCTAGACTCTAAACACCTGTAAAGTGCATGTATGATCTTCTAGCCCTAGGTCCCGAACCCCGCGTCTTTTCAGGGCCCTGCAGGCAAGCCCGGGGAGAAGGTGAACGAGCTAATGTGCCGTGACGGCGCAGACGACGACGCATGTGCCGTGATGGCGCAGACGACAGCACGAGCGACGAATGTGCCGTGATGGCGCAAGGATGAATTGGGAGAAGATTGAGTAAGAGCATCGTGTTAGAACCCGAAAAGAGGTGAACTATGCCTACCAGCAACCCGGGCCGTACCAGCAACCCCGGCCGTACCAGCGGTACGCCGGCGAAAACGGCGCAGCAGAGCGTGCGTACCACGAACCCGGGTCGTGCCAGCGGTACGCTGCCCAAAACGAAGGTTTGGTCCTGCCTGGGCATTGGCCTGCCCGTTTTGGGGCCGTACCGCTGGTACGACCCGGGTTCGCGGAACGCCACCAGGCAGCTGGTACGGCTGGGTTTTTGGCCTTTTCGTTCCTTCGCCGAACCGTCTCTTGGGAGGGTCTCGGGGAATCCCCGGCGAAAGCCGGTGTAGGCCTGCGTGGCGACAGCAAGCAAGCCACAGCAACGCGCCAGAGCGTGCGTACCAGCAACCCCGGCCGTACCAGCGGTACGCCGGCGAAAACGGCGCAGCAGAGCGTGCGTACCACGCACCCGGGTCGTGCCAGCGGTACGCTGCCCAAAACGAAGGTTTGGTCGTGCCTGGGCATTGGCCTCCCCGTTTTGGGGCCGTACCGCTGGTACGGCCCGGGTTCGCGGAACGCCAGCAGGCAGCTGGTACGGCTGGGTTTTTGGCCTTTTCGTTCCTTCGCCGAACCGTCTCTTGGGAGGGTCTCGGGGAATCCCCGGCGAAAGCCGGTGTAGGCCTGCGTGGCGACAGCAAGCAAGCCACAGCAACGCGCCAGAGTGTGCGTACCAGCAACCCCGGCCGTACCAGCGGTACGCCGGCGAAAACGGCGCAGCAGAGCGTGCGTACCACCAACCCAGGTCGTGCCAGCGGTACGCTGCCCAAAAGCCTGGGCATTGGCCCTCCCCGTTTTGGGGCCGTACCGCTGGTACGGCCCGGGTTCGCGGAACGCCAGCAGGCAGCTGGTACGGCTGGGTTTTTGGCTTTTTCGTTCCTTCGCCGAGCCGGCTCGCGGAACGGCAGGTCCTTTTCGGGAGAGGGTCCCGGGGAATCCCCGGAGACAGCCCTTAATCATTCCCTCTTGGCAACCAGCCTTCTCTCAGCAGCCTGCTGCGGAGCAGCCCCGCGAGAGCAAGCTCATTCCTTGTGCTCCCGTTTATCAGCGACATGACATGCACAGTCATGTTACTCGACACGATACGAAGCACAACTGAAACTTCCCACGTAGTCACCGGACCCGCGAGCCATTAGGGTACGGGTACCCTAATGGCTCGCGGGCCTGCGGGCCAGCAGCCCGGCGAGCCATTAAGGGTTCAGGGCGGCGAGCCATTAGGGTACCGTGTACCCTAATGGCTCGCCGCCTGAACCCTTGATGGCTCGCCGGGCTGCTGGCCCGCAGGCCCGCGAGCCATTAGGGTACCCGTACCCTAATGGCTCGCGGGCCCGCCGGCCGCTGATAAACGGGAGCACAAGGAATGAGCTTGCTCTCGCGGGGCTGCTCCGCAGCAGGCTGCTGAGAGAAGGCTGGTTGCCAAGAGGGAATGATTAAGGGCTTTCTCCGGGGATTCCCCGGGACCCTCCCGAGAGACGGCTCGGCGAAGGAACGAAAAGGCCAAAAACCCAGCCGTACCAGCTGCCTGCTGGCGTTCCGCGAACCCGGGACGTACCAGCGGTACGGCCCCAAAACGGGGAGGCCAATGCCCAGGCACGACCAAACCTTCGTTTTGGGCAGCGTACCGCTGGCACGACCCGGGTTCGTGGTACGCACGCTCTGCTGCGCCGTTTTCGCCGGCGTACCGCTGGTGCGGCCTGGGTTGCTGGTACGCACGCTCTGGCGCGTTGCTGTGGCTTGCTTGCTGTCGCCATGCAGGCAGGCCTACACCGGCTTTCGCCGGGGATTCCCCGAGACCCTCCCAAGAGACGGTTCGGCGAAGGAACGAAAAGGCCAAAAACCCAGCCGTACCAGCTGCCTGGTGGCGTTCCGCGAACCCGGGCCGTACCAGCGGTACGGCCCCAAAACGGGCAGGCCAATGCCCAGGCAGGACCAAACCTTCGTTTTGGGCAGCGTACCGCTGGCACGACCCGGGTTCGTGGCACGCACGCTCTGCTGCGCCGTTTTCGCCGGCGTACCGCTGGTACGGCCGGGGTTGCTGGCTGCTGGTATACGGCCCGGGTTGCTGGCAGGCATAGTTCACCTCTTTTCGGGTTCTAACACGATGCTCTTACTCAATCTTCTCCCAATTCATCCTTGCGCCATCACGGCACATTCGTCGCTCGTGCTGTCGTCTGCGCCATCACGGCACATGCGTCGTCGTCTGCGCCGGCACGGCACATTAGCTCGTTCACCTTCTCCCCGGGCTTGCCTGCAGGGCCCTGAAAAGACGCGGGGTTCGGGACCTAGGGCTAGAAGATCATACATGCACTTTACAGGTGTTTAGAGTCTAGGACTATAGGGTGCTCGGGCTAGTAAGGGCTTTCTAGCTGCGAAGTATGTGTTGTGATATGTTTTTAATGCATGATAGGGACCTATATGGTGCAAAAGTCTGTCACTGCAGGATGCTGGGATTATTTTTGTCGGTTTCCGGCTGCTAAAGTCTAAAGGGCATGCTTGTGCATGTTGCAGCTGCAGAAACGCATACATAAACAACAACAAACAAGTGGCAAATGATTTGATTTGTCTGCGAGATTAGATTTTGCCAAGCATGAGCTTTTGATGTGCTGGAATTGGTACACAGCATCGACAAACATGTCTGATTGGAATGCTGTTGCCGCATGGTAATTCAGTTTTGGTCTATGATGAAACAGTAGAAGTCTAATAATCGACTTGAAAACAACAGTTTCAAGGAGGTCAAAGTTCCATGTCATGACTGTGTATCAAACAAGTGCCGAATTGTTACACGTGCTGTTTTGTGCCACATGATAATTCAAGTATTGATTAAACACACAATACGAAACAAATGTCGCTCCGGATCTGTCTACCACACTACAAGCATGGACTGGGACTCGCTCTCTCTCTCTCTCCCTCTCTCTCTCTCTCTCTCTCTCTCTCTCTCTCTCTCTCTCTCTCTCTCTCTCTCTCTCTCTCTCTCTCTCTCTCTCTCTCTCTCTCTCTCTCTCTCTCTCGCTCTCTCTTTGGTTCTCGCTCTCTTTCTGCTTTTCTGTTTTTGCTCCCGGGGCGTCGAGCCGAAGGGCCAATTGAGCAGCAATTTTGTTTTGGTGTGATCCGGTTTCCGGCATCAGCGGAAGCAGATGACTCATTCCCTCATTCCCTACTGACGACCAGCAAGAAATAGGCCTTGGCAGTGGAAAAGTCTGACTTGAAGCATCCCTTAAGACAAAGCACGTGACACAATGCAAGCGAGGCACGGCCCAGCACTCGACGTCGACATCGAGTCTGGCCAAGCAGTAGGCCGCCTCCGGTGCCTCCGCCATCACGATCCTCCGAAGCTCCTCCCGACTTCGGAGGACCGTGATCCCCCGATTCTCGATGGAATCGGAGGGCGGGAGCATCTCCGTCATCACGGAGCTCTCCGCCGTCTCCATGATGAGGACCGCGAGGAGGACCGTGAGGAGGCTGACACTACTCTGCCTAGTTGCTGTGGCCTAGTGTGCTGCTCGGCTGTGCTGTTGAAGCTGTGAGTGTCTAAGGTGCTGAGCTGCTCGGCTGCAATGCTGCCGTCTTGAAGGTGGCTGAGTGCCTAAGGTGCTGTGCCTGCTCGGCTGCAATGCTGCTGTGTTGAAGGTGGCTGAGTGCCTAAGGTGCTGTGCCTGCTCGGCTGCAATGCTGCTGTGTTGAAGGTGGCTGAGTGCCTAAGGTGCTGTGCTGCTCGGCTCCAATGCTGCTGTGTTGAAGGTGGCTGAGTGCCTAAGGTGCTGTGCTGCTCGGCTCCAATGCTGCCGTGTTGAAGCTGGCTGAGTGCCTAAGGTGCTGAGCTGCTCGGCTCCAATGCTGCCGTGTTGAAGCTGGCTGAGTGCCTAAGGTGCTGTGCTGCTAGGACTGTCCATCATGGATTTCATGACTCTGTCACCGGCACTGACTTGAGCTGAGAGCTGAGAGGCCAGGCTGAGACACATCAGAATTGTGTCACGAACATGTCCAACAGTCTCCGGCTCAAGAGGTCACCAGCGAAACAAGCCGCCGCCTTGTCGGAGGTCCGAAGAGGAAGCCCAGGTCCAGGAATCCACGTCGAGCCTCAAGTTCATAGGGGAGTCTCTGTCTATACTCTATACCCTCGTGGATAAGACGACGCACAGGCCAATCTCACGGCAGTATGGTCCTTTTTTGTTCTCCCCTCGCGAGAGGGCCGGGAAGCTCCACGGCTCGCAGCACTGTCCAGGAAGAGGCCACTTTCTAGGAAGGGCCTGTGCTGTCTTACTAAAGGACCTCACTGCCTGAGGATGTGCATCTGAGCTCCAGGAAGAGGCCACTTTCCTAGAAGGGCCTTGCTATGTTACTAAAGGACCTCACCGCCTCATGAGCTCGGGAGAACCGCAGGAGGACATGCCGGATGGCCTTATGATGGCCTTATGTATTAAATTTGAGGGCCCTGGTATCTTACTTGCAATTCAACTAGAGGGCCTCAGCACAAGATCAGGGATGACCTTGTGCTGACCCAGGCATGTCCTCCATGTGGTTCTTGAACCCGAGCTCCTCGTGAAACCTAAAAAGGTCACGACGGACGTGCTTCCAGAGCACCCCGTCCACGTGACTCCACGAGATGGCCTCCCCCATGCGAGAGGCCTTGGTGGGGTCCGTAAGGAGGGCCTCGCCTCAGCGACCGGACTCACATTGCTGATGAACTCTGATCTGCTGACACAGTGCTGTAGTCTGAACTTGCCACCAAAGCACGCACGAGCTTTTGCCCGAAATTGAGGACCGACATAGCACCATCCGGAGAGTGCTTGCGCAAGGCGAGGACCATCTCAGTTCAGAAGATTCTTCTCACCAAAAAGGATGAAGGATGGCACTCAGCGGATGACTTCTGAAAGCCAACCGCACGACCCTACACGACTGCACTAGTTCAACTGTTTGCTGCCTGACCACGACGGTGCATTCGGGGGGGAGGTCCAATGTCGTGAGGGCAAAGGAGAACTCGGGCGACTTCTTGATGGTCTGGCACCAGTTTGCATCCACTGTCTGTCTTCAGCACACTCACATAATCACTGCATCCGAGAGCCTTCAACATTGCATATTACTGCTCGGACACGCACCTACAATCTTAACTCCATGTCCTGTCCCGGCCTCGCGGAGGGCCTTCTCACAGAGCATCAGTCGGTGCTGCTTCACGAATCGCGCATCTGCAAGCACGGATGAGGCTCGTTGAATGGTTCAGTAGAACGACTCCAGACAGAAACTCGAGAGACTACTACATCCCCAACTCCTGCCTTGGAAGACCGACCGATCCGTCTGGATGCCAACACTTCGTGTGCTTGGCCGTCCAGACGGAATAAGAGGCCCGATCCAATTCGTCTGGCAGGCCTACCACGGAGTGTATGATGAGACCCCGAATGTGACAGGAATAGTCGAAAGGATGCTGAAGAGTCCTTGTCTTCCACGAGGACCTTGCCGCCCATGTTTCCAGAGGACTCGCCCTGATGCAATCAAGCGAACAGTCTCAATTGGAATAAAGTAGGCAAGTACTGCATGGCATGTCTGGCACCCAATGCAAGAGACCGTGAACCCTCAGCCTCTTTCTCTGTCCCCAGGAAATCCGCACCAGCCGACGTCATTGCGAGAATCCAGGAGTCGGTATCTAGCCTAGATTCGGGACCTAAGCACCGACCCCAGATGAGCCCATAGTCTGAAGTGAGGCCCAGAGACTCCTACTTGGAGGGTCGGGGACTTAGTAAGTAGGTAGTAAGTAGACTTAGAAGTGGCCTAAAACGGACCCTAGATTCGGGACCTAAGCACCGACCGTAGATGAGCCCATAGTCTGAAGCGAGGCCCAGAGACTCCTACTTGGAGGGTGATGAGCCCAGAGTCTGAAGCGAGGCCCAGAGACTCCTACTTGGAGGGTCGGGGACTTAGTAAGTAGGTAGTAAGTAGACTTATAAGTGGCCTAAAAGGGACCCTCATTGGGGTTATGGTACTTATAAGTCCCTAAAACAACAAGTTACTAAGTCCCTCGAACCTCCAAGTAGTCATGAAGCGAGGATCAGAAACTCACTGTCCAATAGAAATCCTTTCGGTTAAGCCGTGTCAAGAGCTGAGATACATGTGGCATCTTGTGGCTAGCATGAGAGCATGTCGAAGCTATAATCTGCCTCTTGAACCCAGGCCGCACGAGCAAGTCGTGTTTGGTGAGGCAACATAATCACAGCGGACAGCAGTGCAAGAAATGATGTGCCCAGGGACCAACTGCTGAATCCCTGACACAGACAATCCTGAAACAGAAGTTGAATGCCGACTAAGGACTGTATCTATCGCCTGGATACCGCAAAAGTCTGTAGCCCCAAACCCAATGTACACGAGCCGAAAGCCTTGTGAAGTGCAACCACTCAGACTCAGTGTCCGGCTGCCTGATAGGCCATCGGGTGGTGCTGGAGGCCGTCTCCTGAGGGAAATCGGTTTTGCTGCAAGGATGATCAGGGTATCGGGATGGACTTCAGGTCTCAAGCCCCACCAACATGAACATCCCAGAACCCTCGTCCTACTCTCGTCGTCACGGTCGCGAGTCCTATCGTCCTAGCGGACGAGAGTCCTAACGGACTCCGGACTCACTCGTCCTAACGGACGAGTCCGACCTAACGGTCGGAGGCGACCTAAAAGACGAGTTCTGAAGCTTATTTCAAGCCTAACCTACCCCTGAATGTGGCCTATGGCCTATGGCTCGGGTTCTAATTCGCTCCGGAACATGAGGACCTGGCCTGTTCTGCAATCGATGGCGATACCTGCATGCATCTCGCAGATCTGTGGCGATAGGTGCCAAAATCACGCAGCAGAAGGCTGGGTTTCCTGCATTCCACGAACCCCGAAAAAACAGGTGCCGCTAGTTGTATGTCTGACTCCTACAAATTCATCCTATTCGGCTTAGAATGCATAGTGGAGTAGGTAACCTCTAATCACCTGTTAAGGATACCATAGCCCGGCAACCCAGGCCCAAGGATACTGGGAAGTATCTTTACTAAAGCAATTAAATGAAGGAGGGTCTGGATCCAGATGGTTGGATAATAGTCTATTATTTAGAGGAGGCTGTCCATACCCACACCCACGACGGCCTCTCCATCAACCAAGACAACGGGGAAGACAGATCGTGAAGGCCGTTCCTGGCGAAGTCCGAGGATGGTGGCATGTTGAAGTTCCGGAGGGTGCTATGGTTTTTTATTTTTCATTAGATGTGGTTTCTCTACCCAATAACGATCAAGTGCTCACAGTGCTGTAGTCTGAACTTGCCACCAAAGCACGCACGAGCTTTTGCCCGAAATTGAGGACAGACAGAGCACCATCCGCAGAGTGCTTGCGCAAGGCGAGGACCATCTCAGTTCAGAAGATTCTTCTCACCAAAAAGGATGAAGGATGGCACTCAGCGGATGACTTCTGAAAGCCAACCGCACGACCCTACACGACTGCACTAGTTCAACTGTTTGCTTATGCCACGTCCACAGCAGCCTCATGGCAAACCCGATGCTTTCCAGGAGCCCGGCCGCCCGATGACTTTTGACGAGGCCGCCAGTCCTGCAGAGACAAGGGTTAGGTCCAGGCTCGGCTAAGGGGTCTGGGCCCACGGTGACAAGACATTTGAGATCAAAGTTTGTGAGATGATGTTTGGAATGTTGTCTATGAAGTTCAGGATTGCCATTATTCATTGAAGGTCAAATGCGCTTAGGCTTGTCTCAGTCAAAGGATCAGGTGGCACTGTCGGGGTCCGTTGACGTTGGCTTATTTCAATGATTGCTGAAACCACACCGGACAACCTGACCCAAAGACTGCCAATCCTGTCAGTGTGAAGCCCTGCAAACATAAGTATTAAAGTATGATGTTAAAGAACTGGCAATCTTTTCCCCGCTCCGCGACGGCAGGAAGGTCCCGCAGAAAGGCCGAGTCGAGGGCCAAGAACTGCCAAAGGAAAGGCCGATGGAAGACTTGTGAAGGCCGGGGCCAGGAGCGTCCAAAAGAAAGGCCGATGGATGACTCGTCTTGTGATTGATGTGCTTAAGTTCTTTATTATTTTAGAGGACTGACCTAAGGACCCAGGAAGACCAATCATCCACGCTTTTTGCTCGAAGACTTAGCCTTCGCCGGCGCTGGCAGAACTGGTGGATCGTCCTCAGCCTCTTCTTCTTCCTCTTCCTCTTCCTCTTCCTCCTTCTTCGCCAGCTTTTGTTCTTCTTCACGCAAGTTCTGCTCAGCTATGCGAGCTCGCTTCTTGGCCTTCTCCACAGTCTCTTTGGAGAACCGACTCTCCAGGAGGACCTTCTTGTCCTTCTTCGCCTTCTTCTCCTTTGTACCCTCTTTCTGCTTCTTGTTGGTCTTCTCCTTTTTGTCCTTTTTCTCCTTTTTCTCCTTCTTCCCCTTTTTCTCCTTCTTACTCACGTGAGAGACC